TGCCCAGAGGCCATTAATTATTGCATAGTGATGTGGAATTTAATATTAAATAGTGCACCATTTGCAACTTAATCACGATACACCGGTTTTGGATCGGATTGCCAAACCATTTTATTTTGGTGAGTCACCCAAAACTCAAAAATCTATCACTTGAGCAAGAAGTCATCTAGCCTTGTCGAGAGTTATTCAAAAACTGAGTGGAAAGTCTGAAAGGATAATTTACCACAAATGTAAATAATGGAGTTGATGATTTCATCAATATTCTCCTCTCTTTTACAAATCCAAACTAAATTGTGGAAGCATTAATTTCGGTGCATTTTGATGAGTCCATTTTTTGTGTCTACGATGCATTAACCTGCGAAAGGAGGCACAATGCTAATTCATTTGTGCGAATTCAAGGGTCTAAATGGGAGGACCAGCGTGCATCAGATAGAAATGCTTACATCGGAAAAGCTAAAAAATTAGAATAAAATGGGAAGAATTGCAAATAAAGGCTGTTTCAAAGACATGAGGTATTTGATTTCTGTATAACTGTGTGATTAGTTTGTAATTAAAGTTCGCGTTACGAAGAGCTGCATAACTGAGCCAAAGTATGCAGTGTATAGTAATAGTAAGCCATTTTTTCAAAACCAGAAAAGGGGAATACGAATGTCGAATGGAATGGATCCAGCTTTGGTTGAGGACTGGAAAACAAATGCCAATGCCAATCCGACGTGTCTGATGGCGCGCCTTGTCAAACGTGCAAGGCCCAAAACAACCCAATTCGTGCCTAGATAAAACGTACAAACACAGAACAGGTAGTACAAAGATGTAAACCATTTTTATTCAGCAAAAGCAGTTAGTTTAGCAAGGTGATTGACTTCGGTACAGAATTTTGGGCACAGAATCTTCCATATTTATGTCGTCATTTTATGTTGGAAATAATTTTCGAATGTTTGAAAGTTTTTCCAGTGCTACGTACTTTTACGAATGAAAATATTTTCCAATGAATAACCGAGCCTTTCTTTAAATAAGTTTTACAGCCCTCAATCATCTTGAGGCAGATGAACTCTTGGTATTTGATGAGGTAACCATTTCGATCAAGTAGTATAGAGATGGGCTGCCCAAACTCATAAATTATGCTACTTATGTAGACATAGTTAATCGTTTAAGATAATCTCCTCCATTTTTAGCAAGGTATTTAAATTTCTACCCGAAAATAATACTTCCGAGAAAGGATTGCTTTCAGAAGGGACAGTCTGCAGAATCATTCATCCACGAAAGCGTCTGCATCTCTCAGTTCACTGGTTGCCACTGCAGAATAGCATAATTGAATCACTCAATAAATAATTTCAACTGCAGACTTGGTAAACCTAGTGAGTATAAACTGCACTTTTTTGTTTGTTGGGGATCCACCATCCTGAGCGAGCTTACTGCTCTTTTTTAACACATAATTCTGAGGGCACGCATTTATGAGTGATAAGGAGCATTTAAGTTTTCTGATTACTGACCATGTTGAACTAACTTGCAAATAACCCCAAACGCCTTACTGATCACTCAGTTCCGATCTAAGTGACGACTGGAACTAAATTTTCTGCTAATTAAAAAACAATAAGGATTTTGAGTTTATGGTGTCTGCAAATCCAACTGCATGGTCAAATGGCTTATTAGAAGAACCGCTGTAGGCAAAAGTTCAAACTTGTTTAGTAATTTTTCAAAGATAGCATATTTAAAGATATCTCAGCCTTATGTTGATCCGAGTAGGCTGGAAACTATTCAGTAAATTGGTCACTTTAATGATGTTGATTTTGCTGACCAGTGACGCAGGTGGGCTGGCCACCTTAGCAATTAAAAGTCATTTGAAAGAGTTTTATTGTTTTAAACACTATATACCTGTTTTAGTCAAGCCAAATTGTTGATCCCTTTGATGAAGCAAAAGCGAGGCATATTTTAAATTAAACATAAATTATTTTAGTAATGTTTTTGGAACGGATAGATTTCTCACGGTGGGTTGATTAAGTAAGTGGGAAAATGATGGGATATCCTGACATACATCAGAGCCCTACCTTTCGAGGTGGAAAAGCGAGGATGGGGACACAATTTTATGTCAGAGTTCCTGATTCTGTCCCAGTTTTATATCCTGTTGGCAGTTCATTTTTCTCAGTGTGAGGAGATTTGCTTTCACCTAGCTTGGCTTTAAGGCAGTGAGGTTGTAAACGAATCACTAGATCGCATGCTTTCACATCCGTCAAAGTACTTTGGAATAGGATTTAGGTATGTGGATGTAAACCAGCGCAAGTGCAATTCCACATGTTCCTGCAAATCAATTCCGTATGTGAATTGCGAACTTCATTAAGGGCTTTGACGGACAAATTCGCTCCCATTTGTTTAAATGCAAAGGGATTGTTAATAATCAAGCTCCAGTGATAAATGGATCAGTAGACGGAAAGAGGAACTTGCGTTGGGTGGATTAAAATGTGGCTTTTGCAACATGATTTTCTCCTATGAAATGGGACTTGTGCATGCTATAGGCTAAAGTTTCTTTATACGTGTGATCTGGGTCCTGTCCCGCTCCCAAACGGATGATGAATGGATAAAGTCAAAGTCTTCAGAACAGATTTCTCTGTTGACCTACAGATGTGAGCAAAAGGGGGCACGTTGAGTACATACGCGCCTGACGAGTGGCTAGTTGAGACTGCTTGAGTGCGAGCCTACATCCTAGTCGGTGATTTTGGTTACGAGTACTTACAGTAATTACCCGCTCCTGCCCTTAGAGGGCTTATCAGTACCCTTCAAGTACATCCATGTATTATGAGGCGATCAGAAGGCAGCGAGCGAGACCACGACTCTAGGACGTTCGGTGATAAGCCAATCGCTAAACCTTCTAGAAAATCAAGCAGAAATGTCTTCTGTGGTTGCAGGCATCCCCAGCTCTTTCCGACTGAGTTATGGCCTAAGGTATGTTAGTCCATTACTTGAGGTTTCACTTGAAAATAGAAAATATGTGTGTAAATCCATGGCTTGTGACAGTTTTGGTTGTGAATAACATTACATTGGCTCTTCGTGTCCAGTGCCTTCTCAGTGTAGGATTCGTCGAGTTTTATCAAAGCGTATATAATTAAAAATTACCAAAATATATCGTAAAGAAAATATTTTAGTCAATCACAAACCGCAGAACTTCATCTTTACGTAAATAATGAAATAACGGCATCGTCATAAAATTGGTTGACTGGAAACGAGACTTTGAGGTCTAACAAGTTAGAAATGTATCAAAGGAATGTCGCATATTTACCAAGGACATGTTGCTATCTAAATACTTGTGGTTATGTAAGGGACGTGGGTGTTCAAGGTGTCGTTGCGGGAATAAACCAATTGGAGCTCAATTTTTAACCCTCATAAAGTGATGTTGATCGGTAAAGCCAATACAATAACCATTTTTTCCCTCCATAAGGTCAAACACTTAGAATTTGCGTTTCCTATTTAGTTTGGAAATTTCATCGAACTGTGTGGTTGCTTTTTAGTTAACCAGCCTAAAAGAAACGTTTACAGAAGTTCCAATGGTAATCCAAAATGTACCGTTTTCTGATGGCAAAGTCCGGGATTGTATGAAAGTTATTGTCTTTAAAACACGAATGACCCTACCTTAGGTCGCTTATTAATTTCCAAAAAACTCGTTCCTTAAGGTTTGAGGCATTCACCAGACCGTGTTCTGGGACGTAATAAAGTTAATGGGGAGAAAATTATAAAAAGGAGTGTAAAATTATTTCATTAGCCTTATTTGATCCTATATTGCCCCCTGAGGAACCATGGCACCGAATTGGCAAAACATCGTCCCAACAGACCACTCAAGCCGCTACCGGTGTAGATAATGGTCAGTTGAAACTCTCCGGACAGGTGTGGTGACCCGAACTTTTCCGTAACACAACATTCACCGGAACGTGCTACATCATCAAAACCAATGTCAACATACTTAATAATTACTGGTTTGACACCATGGGTCTGGATCAGGTACCCATCAAAGCTATCCGTGCTTGGACGCTGGACGCTGCCGAAGTTCAAGAGGAGCAAATGTCCGTATACACATTGATGCGTGCAATGCTCTTCGTTTGAAACGAGTTACCAAGTCATTTACTTGGCGAAGACCTCAAACCACCATTTCAGCGCCGTGACTTATTTCCGAAGGGTGTCTAATGTTTGGCGATCAGTATGTGTTTTTCTTAAGTCACTGCGTCTAAGGACATTGTACCTATTTCACTCCAGTCATCCTAGTGTCATTCGCAAAGTGCCCGTTAATAGAATTCTCGCTTAGTGGCCACGCATGGATGGATATATCACCGATTTCGTCAAAGGCTGTCAGCACTGCCAATGGGTGACAAAAAAATTTAGGAAATTCCCACCATTGCCTTGGCCTTAGCCAGAGTTGCCACAGTCACGACTGCACTTCGGTCTCATAGCTCGTATAGGTAAATGCCTTTTCATAGAAGACAAAGATATCACCTGTGGTCTTCTCTACGGCTACCAAGACACTACAAGTGATTCACCATTTCTACAACCATTATGGACTATCAGTGGCGTTGACCACATAAAAAGAAATACCTTTTACTTCGTAAAAGTTCCATAACTTTGCTGCCAGCATGCTAATACACCTTTACTTCTCGTATTCTCGCTTCCAATCGGGTAGAAAAGTGGAATAGTTCTCTGGTAAGTTCAAGCGCACACTACCAGATTCAGGAGGGGAAAGAGCTAAGCCGGATGCCTTACGAAGGCTTACCGAAACGTTATACAACTTCAAACAGTTCCTTTTGGAATCACTTTACATCAGTCAAAGCCCTAATGGGGCTCAAGCTTCGTTGGGTCAAAGCAGTGACAGTTCTAAGACCAAAACACAGTTCCAAAGAGCCTGTATCGGAAGTCTCAGCAACGTTCAAAACAGGTACCGACGCCTACGTCTGCGATCATAGGCAGAGACGAGAACGATGAATCGGTTGAAGGTTTCTACTCAAACGAGAAGTTAATATTCTATGGCAAAATCAGAAACGACACCTGGATACGACATTGCGACCAAGTGCTTCTACGACACATTGCAAAACCAGCACTCCAATATGATACTCTACCACCTGGATACCACTCCGCATGTGGGTCATGGAGACGAAGATTCAAGTTGCCCAATTCTGTGTACCAAGACGGCGATCTAGCAATTGAAGGCGTAGAATAAAACAACTCTAAGTCGACCCTAGAAAATTTCGTTGCTACCTCTTTTTACGGAGGGAGGTGCTGGTGATATCTATAACCCCAAAAGCATTCTTATTTTAATGTTCCAGAAAATTTCTTCCAGGAATTTGGTTTGCGAGGCAGTCTAGAATATTCCTCGACTCGCACTCTCGCAGAGTTTGCCTAATTGACCAATTTGGCGTAGCGACTATTTCGATAATGCACTTGTAGTTGTGGCAACGTCAAGGCCATTCAAAACGCTATAAATATGAGACAATGAAACAACCTTTTGTTTGCTTTGGCTAGCCAGCAATCACCTATGCACTTGTCGTACACCTCTCCGGCTTACTCAATTCGTCCGTGTCAAAGAGTTGTTCTCTACTTATTAATTGAGGTCGATAGGATCCAACTCAAGCTCACCAACACCAGTTTGTAAGGGACTTCCTTCCTGCCTTGAACACCATTACTCAAGTCATTGTCTCAAAGCATTCTATCTAGGAGGACATAACACAAGAACCGAATTTGTCAACAAGACTAATCTCAAATTCATTTTTTTTTCCTAGAATTAAGGCAATCAGAGGCGTCAAAGATGGAAGACTATATCTTTTCCAACATTCGGTTTAACTACCCGTATTATTACGCGGTTAACTGATTCAAATGTACTGTAAATCTTACGTTGAATGCTCTTAGCATGACTTCTTTCATCCACACTTCTAGATTCTAGCTCCAATGTAACAATATTATAACATATATAAGTTGTTGAAGCGTACCTCAGATGGTCCGGCGCTCTGAAAGAGGAATCTTGTCAACGCGTCGACGCCTTTCATAAAGCGCTGGTTAGAAGCCGACCACTCTCCACTGCAATGATCCTGATACCAATTTCTTGTACTAAGAAGAGATTCATTAATATCCTACTTAGTAGAAGACAATTAAAGTGTGGAATTCATTAACTTAATAAAATTGATGTGCGAGACACCAGTTAGCCGTCACCTATACATGTAGTCTTCCCTCCTTAAACCGGTGAGCTATTTTCAACTTAGAAATAAGATTTGCACTTTCGCAGCCTTTTACTTCATGAGGAGTGTCGACTGCAGATTATTATCACGATTACTCCTTAACATATCACTTTGGTATAATTTTATTGTACAGATCGACTTGATACCACATTGTTACCGAGTTTTGGATACCTTTTATGAAATGATGAACTTCATTACTACAGTTCATATTTGCTAGCAAATGTGCATCCAAATGTGCTCTTTTCCTCGAAGTACCAGTGTTCATATGAAAATGAATTGTAAAGTCCTGTGTGTAAAGCGGATTTCAATAACTTCATATAAAATGTGTAACTATCTTTTATGCGATTTAACTGCTCTCTGCTAATCACACAGTCTCGATGTTAATGAATCTTTCTAATCATTGTCAAGTCTATGTAATAAAGAAATTTAATACCAAATTTCTTTCCCTTGACAGCTCAGGAACTTTATTTCATTTTTCTGCTTTTGCTCTTATGCATGGGTCCTAACAGTATACTATCCTCTGTAGGTAACAATTTAAAAGATAATCCTTTCTAGAATAAACATCTATTTAATAATTGGATTCCTTCAATTTTACTTCAAGTGAACTGAAAATAGCTATGTAAACGGCAATGGAAAACCAATGCAACACTGATTGATATTAGAGAGATTCCTGTCTGTAGGACAGTGTTCTTGGTTGAGGCAAGGGAGAATTATCAGCACAGCCTTTTTTCTTATCCCAGCAAATATGCCTAGACACCATCAAAAGTAGAGGCATTTTTTCGGCATCTTCTATAATTGCAGTTATCCTTTCATCTGTCTTGGGACATACTGTGCTTTTCCTTTCTACAAAATGGCATTCCCTAAATAGTTTTTATTAAAATGGTTGCTAAATTGGCACAGTTCCTGTCTGAATGGAATACCGGGTGGAAGTGTTCTTTCCTAGTCTTGCGCCAGTTAAATTGGTCGATCCACAGGAGGACTTTTGGTAGACTCGTAAGTAAAGCTTTGACAACATCTATGGTCTACTGCATGGTAAGTGATCTCACCTAAAAACTGAATCTGCTTCGATTTGTTACCTGAAGCTTGTTAAACAATGGAAAAGTGGAAACCCTAAACGCCCAATGCTGACATTAATGTGCGCAATTGATTAATTTTGCATAGTACTTGTCCAAGCCTAAGAAATGGGAAAACTGTAATGGACCTCCAATAGAAGCCTCCCAGCTATACGGTAGCCGAAAACAATGCTTGGAGTTTTGACAGTTTCCGCTAATGCATGCTTATGATCATTTTAATAGCAATAAGGCTTACTAATTCCGAGTTTTCCGGTCATTTTCAATCTGTAGCAATCAAGAGCTGCCAATTGCAAATTATAGTGCGCTCCAGATGTGCACCAAAGCAGCTCTGAAAATAAATATCAGTATTTGATCCAGAAAATTTCGTTAGTGTTCCAACGAGGCGGCTCAGTATAAGTGCAAAAACATTGACTGTAAAAACCCTTCCATTGGTTGACTTCATTAATAATCTAGTCCATTATGGTCGTGTTGCCCTTGTTAGGAAATCCAATTACTAAATTCGAACACATTCTCTAGGTGTGGCAGCAGAACTGAGGAAAATCTTTAATACCTTGACGACCATTTGTGGTATGTTTCATTTGAGTATACACTGTTTGGTGTAAACGGTGCCAACACAAGTGTAATAGGCGACAGTATTTTGACGTCTGCGTTCGAGACCAAGTTTATAATGGCAGCGATTGTTATGCAGACAACATGCTCTTGGAAACTAAGCAGATACAGTAGGAGGAAACACATAATATGAGCGAATAACTTCCAGGTACCTTTTCCTGTATTGTGCTAAAGGTCTATGATGTTTTAAATTGCATAACAATTAGAAATTTAGCTAAAATAAAAGGTCCGGTTCCATACTGCACAGTGGAGCACTCAAATGACCCCAGTGAAGGCTAAATAATCAAATGGTGTGGTGGAGGTTGAATTGAAGGGTAGGATATAAACGACTTCTTGTTTTAAACTCGCCCCTGCGCATCAATCTGCGTATCTTATCTGGATGCCAGACTTACAGACATCGCTTTATTAAGTCATCGCCATGAGAATTTGTTCCACTATTGCAGAAGACGACTTTAGGGTGTCTTTGCCTTACCACGAATGGCGTGGATGCTGCCTGAAAACTTGGTGTTTGGGGAACGGGCCGCCTTTTAGTGCACTGACTCAAAGTGAGGGAAACGAAGGAACATCTACAACAGTTCCCCTTTCTTCTACCATGCTTCACGAACAGTTATTCAGAAGGAGTGAACAGCGGCTCATTGGGCAGTACTACATGTTTTGCAATTGGTACCTTAATCCGCCTCCTAAAGTGGGAATATTAAAGCCTACAGTGGACTCATCTGCGTAGTACCATCTTGACCGTAGGAGGCCATTAAAAATCCAGTACCGTTCTCTAAGAGCAGTCAACAAGTGGACAATTTCGACTTGCTATGTGTATTATAAAGTGCTTGGCCATCAACCTTGTGATGGAACTATCACTGAGAACGATTAATCGATATATTGAATGAAAAGGCCTTGGTATTGTTTAAGATTCTCGTGACGACCCCGCTTTGTCATTGAATAAATTTGCTTTTCCTTTAAAGTAATCTTTTTGTGCCAATCGTAGTATATACCCTCTGTCAGCTGTACTTGAACAGACTTTAAGAGGGTTTCCAGCTCTGGCTTGGACACGGTTTTGTCATGCTTCTGCCATAACCGCAAACACAATCGACTAAACCAAGGGATTTGCCGCACAAGGGAAAACCAACAGCTGACATGTTCATCATTAATCACTTAAACGGCATTTACTAGAGTCTCCTCAGTTTTAAAAGGCCAGATGATTTCCGAAATAGGAAATACCATAGGCTCTTCAATGAATGTATGATGTAGAAATCAGAGGCAAGGGACCTACGAAAGTCCGTGGTTTCGCCAACCGTTGGCTTGCCCTCAGAAAAATTGGGATCAGGGTCGTGCTGGCTTTCAGATCAGAGTGACAGCTGAGTTGCCTGCTTGTGGTTGGACGAGGCTTGCGCCATTGGCGAATATGAGCAACACTTGGGGGTAGGCCTCTCTATTATTTCGCTTACGCAGGTTCTGGCAATAACATGCGGTTCCCTAAAATGCCATTCCAGCTATCGAGGCGCTTTCGCAGACTCTTCTCAGGGCTCCGGGAGTCGTGCACTCTAAATAGCTTTTGCAGCCTTGCCACCTCTGGTTAAAATTGGGTAATATAACAACCCAGTATGGTCTTCTGTGAAATTAGCTACAATTGCATAAAATTCCCTAATTTAGTCATAACAATTGTGGGAACTGCTATTGAATTAGAGCAAGCAGTGAGTGGATGGTTCCGGTCAAGTGTGAAGGAGCTTGGCTATCTCGTACATATGACGAGAACCCTAGTACCAGGTTGCACAGACGTGATTTGCAGTTCCCTTTAAAGATATCTCGCCAAGAGGGCTGAATGCTTTGGCAGGCAGTGAGATGAAACAATTTTAAACAGCATCTAGTCACTTAGACGGCTGCATTGTAGGAGGACGGACTAGTTGGTAATCTATTTATCAAAGAATTTTTGTACTGTCTTTGCAAATTTTATTCCCTAAATACAAACAAGTTGTCATCTTTGATAAGTGTCGTTGCTCTCTTACAAGTGAAATGAAGGTTATCCATCAAATTTCACATTTTGAATGGCAAGTTTTGAGGGGGTTTAAGTAGTTATGCTACAGAACCTTCAGACTATTTATCTTACTTTAGGAGCTACTTGACCACCTTATTGAAATGACATAATAAGGTCACACTTTTGATGGCCCCAGTTCCCAATCAATACCGATCCTCTTATTTGCCATTAGTCATGTAAAATAATTTGGATAAAAGCTCAATGAAGAAACAAATAGGAAAGTGACTTTCTTATTTGAAAGAATTTTTCTTTTACAATTTACGAAGGGTGAATCCGCTCAATTTTCTCATAGTTGTGAGGCATGGGCGTATTTGATAGAGAACCTCTAGGAATCAGAGGAAGAGTAGGGAGACATTCCAACACACCCGTCCTCTCCTGCTGTCACCAGCTGGTTGTCTTGAGAATCGAAATTCACCGCAACAACCGCTGCTCCATGAGCTGCAGTACTCCAGACCTAGAGAAATCGGCAATAAATCTCGAATTGAAGTGTGCTCTGTAGCAATATCAAACGTCTTCTTTCCTGTGAATTACAATTAAGTGGTAAATATTCAACACGTGCCAATCGATAGTTCTAAGCTTCATTATTTCTATGAGGCTTCGAAATAGTCCACCAAGTTGAGGTTGAGAGTAAATTATGGGATGCGTGAGACTGAAGAAGCAGTACGTGAATGCGTACACGTAAATAGCACCTCTGTAATGATAGAATCATCCTGTGCATAAAAGTGCGCTTAAAGTGTCTCCTTTAGCCAGAATAAGAAATGTGATTCTATTAGGTTACTGCGTGACACAATGGAAGCAAAGAAAGAGAAGGAAATTTTGGATCACATGCGTAGCAACTTTCCAGTTAAAGAAAATAGAGTGTATTTAACGGGTGAAATTCGAGTGAAGTCAGGCTAAAGAAGTGTGATTAAGCTCCGTGACATAGCAGGGAGGTTCCCATTCATCGGCACTGTTTTTATTTGTAAAATGGTAAGCAAATATTTTGCTTTTGTTGAATGGCAGAGCCTACGCGTTTTGCCGGCGTTATTAGCAAAATTGTGCTAAATTGTCGTTTGTCAATCAACAAACGCGTAGATCTTAGTACTCACTAATGTGTGGTAGGTTATTAAAGAAATAATGCACTCCCGTTTATTAAAAAATAAAAAGCGGCAAGAGTTCCTCATTTCTATTTCGAAAATGGGAATAAGACGTCAATTAAGGCAATTATCTATGCACCACTAAAGTCCAGGCTCCTGCCTAAATAAGTGAGGCGTTTTGAGTGTAAACGTACCACTTTAGCAAAAAATTCTCTTTACGTTTGTACCTCAATTACACACGCATCTTATATTTTTAAATTGTCAGTTACAGTATTACAATTTTTCCAACATTTGCTAATTTTCCAAATAAATGTGAAGTGGAGAGGCAGAGAGGTAGATGAATTGCGATGTGCCAGGTCTTTTTATAACAATTGCGTAAACGATACATTAAGATGGGCCAGATTAAAATGTCGTACTGCATTTCAGTAGTAAGTTGTGCTCAGACCTTCACTCATATTATGACCGGAGCCGAGAGAAATTTGATTGTTTCAGCCTATTCTTCCTATATCACCTGATATCGGTGAGATTGACCCCGAAGACAATTATGTAAACGGAAGGAGGAAAAAGACACTTTACACCTTGGAATCCATTTGTAGATTTCGAGGTAAATCGGCAAGCTCCTGTGTCTATGCAGTGGAGGTTGCAAATAAAACGGCTACTTTTCGTTAAAAAAGGCATAAAAGCCTATTGCAAAGTCTATTCTGGATTTTGCATACTTTTTCCTTTAACAAATCATCAGCTTACCCATGCAGATATTGTAGAACTACTATTATCCCGACATACTGTTATAGCCTACACGAACTTACAACCCATTTTAGTCTTCAAAACTTGTATTATCGCTAAACAAAAGATTGTGAATTTTTTAAATTTAAATATGACTTCTCAAAGTAGGATTTGCATAGTAGAAATGCCAATGTTGTCAGTAAATACGAACCCATTTGTAGTGAGGCAATGCTAATAAGCCGAAAATTTAGAGCATGCTACAGCAGTGAGATTTGCCAAATGTTTTAGATGGTCATAATGGCCATTTATGGTGTTGTTATGTGCGTAAAAAGCACAATCTTCGGCGTTTAATTGAAAAATCCAAACATGGACATGCAGTGCTTGGTTCGACCAAAACATCTGACTTTTGGAGGATTTATGTGTCGTTGGAGCAATTAATTCGGCGAGTCTAGCCGCTATTAAAATGCGCGACGGGTCCTTTACTCGCTTTAATGTAAACCACATTCGGCTGCAATACGAAGAGTACCCGTGGTCTACGACGGACAATACGAATACCTCCCATTTTCATGGTCTATCATCGCCATATGTGTCTATTGTTTCCTAAATATTTTCGACTTGATGAGTGCTGAAAGTTCTCGCTAAGAAATTCAATTCCAGCAGTACCCTTTGTATCAATATTTCCACTGCTAAATGCAAAATCATAATGTAAGCCCGTTGATGCTACAGTAGGCTTAGAATTCCTCACCGTAAATAAGCAAAGAGTAGCTAAACTAAATTAAGCTAAATTCATGGATTATTTAATCTTTGTTTTAGTGTGTTGCATTAAGATTGTAATGTATTCTACCATTAGCAAACATTGTCTATGATCTACAAAATTCGTTCGAAAAGTGATGCATATTAAATGCACATCTCTGCGCAGTGCTGCAGTCTAAACGAATTAAAGTTAAAAGCACAAACCTATCAAAGCTAGAACTTTGTACAGTAAAGGCAGAAATTTACGGTTTAGCCCTTTCTTCACTCATTCGAAAAGTTGTTGTCAATCTTCAACAATTACTTTCGTCTCGAGGTCTCCGTTAGCAATATCAGGCATTTCGGCCACATTCTTTGAAATGTGTTTGTAGAATTCTACCTGTAAAAGCCACCAATCTTGGAGCAATTATCTTGCACTGATTTAAGAAAAATAGCCAAGATGTGCGCACTTTACGGACTAAGTTCCCATGCAAAGGCCACGGACAGGACGCCGATGCTTGATCGCCTTGGATCGGTCAGTACGAGCTGATGTTGAAGGATAAGCACATAGTAAGGGAGAGTAAGAGCAGAGAAAGAGCTCGATGGTTTTTGGTGCCGGCGAATAGCTCGATGCATCAGTTAGCCAGTAGCGGTCACCTTTGGAACCATATTTGAAAATTATTCAAGGACAGTTTAAGCATGACAATGCTATTTTTCTTGTCTTTTCTGAATTATTGTATAAGCTAAGTGGCGCAAGAAGATGAATTTGTTAATTAGCATTTGGGTGTACATCACTGCACCTTGTAAAGTATCCTGCTTTAGAGTGTTCAAGATTGTATAATGTCGGAGTAATTATAATGAAAGCTCTAGTCATCTAAAGATGATACTCAGAAGTGAATAAGACAGAAATAGCTTGCAAAGAAAAGCAACTGCTATCCGCTGTCAGAAGATCTCCCTCTTAAGGTGGGTGATTTGGCAAGGCATTTCCAAATCCTATTTGCATCGCACTAGGAATTTTTATTTTAAATCCCAGTTGGGTCGGTGGGTCCCAAACCACTAGCATAATTTGAAAATCGTATAAGCGGACAGCTTAGCGATAGATTTTGTTTCAGTTGTTCTAAGCTCAAAGAGGCGATATTAAAATGTTTAAATTATGGGTTAATTTTTTCCAGATCGGTAACCAACACGACACCAAGTGGCCGACATCCACGACCATAGTAGAAACGATGGCATCCGATCAAGAGAAAGTGTCACACATAAGTTTATCAATGCCACAACTTAGTGGGAAGGTGTGTTACCGAGATTATATGATTAGCTTAGCGTGTGTGCGTTAAAAAAACTTCAGTAGAAAGCTGAAAAGGAGAAAGCTATTTTACCAGAATGCACCGCAATGTGTTCACTGAACTAGTAGCAAAAAATCCATGTTAAGCCAAAATGGCGCCATTTCAAAATTTTGAAAATTTAAAACGCTTAACACAAATCACAATAACCTCTGACTGGTTCCTCCAGCACTGACTGAAAGGTCATTGGGTGCATTGCATCCACTCAAAATTTGCACTCAAGCCAATGAGTTTGTTTTTGCCATGGATACATCCATGATTAAATGTACTTTTCAAAGCAAGCAAATCTAGTGCAGCGTGAAAATAGATCATCAAGGCAAAATATTACATAACATAATACACTCAGGAAAAACTAACGACCGGCCAAGGCTATTAGTACTTAAAATCAGTTGGGTGACCCTCGAAATTGACAGTTATGGAAACCCCTTTTATGCACATGGAAAGAATTAAAAGAAAGTTCGTGTTCATGGGTCATCTCTCTTAATGACTGAATTCAGAAATTCAAAAAGGATTGGAATGCGTAGAATTAAGAAATATGCTTGCCAAGGTTTTATGAAACAACTATTTTCTTGCCTTTAAATTTCTTAGAAACTAGCTATTACCTAAAGGTGAAATGCTTATATAATTTCGTTCATATTTTTCCCATAACTATTTGGCTTTGAATAATTGGTTCAATTCTGATAATATGTGTGCGGCCCTCCTGAGGCAGTTCCAACAAAAGCGTACTAAAGCCAATTTGGTGCTGCATTTTTGGTTTTTGTAAAGTAGTATTGCCCTTTCTGTGACTCAGAATTCCATGCAGTCATGTGAATAAACCTATGAAACAATTTCCGACATCTATTATTTAGCGGGATCCTAGACCTGATACTGGCAGATCTTACCTTATTGGTAATTAGGTTAAAAAGGGTCAAACTCCCATCTGTGTTTCCTGTCAGTAGATGATTTCCCTCAGGTGAATAACGGATGCAATTTCTTCCATGTCCATACAGCATTTCTCCAATTAGTTGGACCACCTGGCTGCTATTCCGAAGGTCCCACTTCAGTACCACTCCGTCAGAATCGCAAGAAGCAAAGGTGAAACCATCCACAAAGAAGGTTGTCCCCATAACAGGCGCTTTGTGACTTTCAAATCGTCTCTCCTCACTTCCCTACACAGACCGATCTCAAGTGTTCAAGAAAAAAACTACCTACCGACCAAACATCCCACAATAGTACCCGCCTACCGGAAGAGGTGCTGAAAAGTAGGTGTTTGTTGGACAGAAACTGTACACAATTAACTCCACCTCAGTGGCCGCGTAAAACGTCCACCGTCAGGGACTTTTCCAGCGCGAAAGTGCGCACGAAACTGTCTAGGCCGCCAGTCGCGATACATTCACCGGCACAGTGCCAGTCAAGGCAGAGCGCGATTCCATCCTGCAATCGTTGCCTTTTAATGAAGCTAAACCGAGGCAACTGTTCATTATTCTCTGTCTGATCCACTTTTCCTACCTACGAAAGAGGGGGTTTGTGTTTAGGGTGTGCGCATCTTACCAGCATGTGACCTGATAAGGAGGAAACTGCCAGTCCGCTTCCATCTGAGCTGAAAGCCACAGCAGATAGCTGCAGCCGAGGAGTGGAGAGGGTGCTTGTGACTGCCGCCTTATCGAGATGGATAAGAGAAATGTCTCCCTTTCTGCTAGTGCAACAGGCAACACGGGTGGGTGTGCAGTATGTGACACTAGAATCCAAGTTCATTCAGAACTATTCCTCTCAATAATTGCTCAAAAATATTCAAATTTCTTAATACATTACATTAAACCTCAACAAATCTGTCATTTTTAGGTAGCTTTATTTAAATGCAGCTTCTATCAAATTGAACGGCCGCAGTTGGAGTTAGTCTAAGGGTCCTTTTGCTGCGTACCATTGGCTTTCCAGTAATATTCATTGCTCTACTTAGTCGTTTTCTAATTGCCTTTGATTGTCAAAACAAACTAATCACTTGATAAAAAATGCTTAATGATATTTGTTTACATAATTTTGACTTATAGCACATACCATCACCTACGTTGAACGATTTAGCGACTACTTTTGGCCGTACACTTACATTGCATTTGAGACTGACTTTAAAATTCTGTTTTTGAAACACACGGATCCCTAACTATAATTTACATCACAAATTATGTGGTGGAGTAATTACTGACTTTGTACTCTTCCATTGTTGATAAAAGATTGAAGATAGCATCCTATTTGGGCACGTGGGATGGTCAGGCGTTTTCTGGTGACGCTATCATCCTGTTTACCGTTTTTGCTAGCCTGTAATTTATCACTCCACCTTGGTATGCCATTGACGCAGTAGCAATTACCACTATGACCGCTGTTAATTGAGTATTCATATGAGAAATACACCTTTTCTAAAGCCACCTAGGCAATTAAATCAGGTTTGGAATGACTATTACCTGTGTTTTGACTCAATATCAGTCGGGCTTTTTTAAAGCTCTTCCTAATTCATGAACATTCAAAAACAAAGCTTTAATTCTGAGATTTTTTATGAAAAAATGTTGATACCGCTATAGGTGATAGACTCTAGCTTAAGCCTCAAATTACCGAACGCGTTTCATTATGTGCAATCAGGACCAGGCACGATGTTTTTTACCTCAGGTAGTCAATATCTCAAAAAACAAAGTAATTCCTGGACATTGCAAAATGATTTTTACAGAGCTAAACAAGCACAAACCTATACACAAAGAGCGTTTCATTAAATGAATGACCTTTGTTGTAGCTTACCCGAAAATGGGTCCCTTGCTGAGTTGAAGTACTTTCATTGACGCTTTTGACAGCACACTATCCCTTCCGTCGTCTCCTTCCGATACCTATAGTGCTAACTTAATCAATCGCCCAGAATTTTCTTTGTTTAGCCGCTGTACTTGTCCCAAATTTTAGGTCTAGTCTATGCTTTCACGAGAGAGTTTGGACGAAGAAAAATATTTTTCATTTTATTTCCTAAAGTCAACAGCGAATATTCTAAGCTTGCTAGTGTTTTGATTTGTATTTATGGTAGTAAATTACTACTGGGACGTCATTATATTTCTTGGACTCTTATATTATTGTCCATCTTTTATCATACAATTGATGTATCTTTAAAAATCCGCAAGCAAGTAAAATGAATGTAAATGTTTAGTTTACTATCAGAGGGAGTACGGTGTGCCCTCACTCTCAAACTTTTCACTTTTTCGTTTATACCGTGTGCTGTGCAAAAAATGTTAAAGACAAACCTTAATCACCTCCTAAAACTTTGACTTACATTGACCGTGTCAGCGCTCCACGGCTCAATGGCTTTCTCGATGCGTATAGTGGGAAACCCAATCCGATGCACTCCTTGATATTGTTTGAGAATCCTTTTTTGCTCTACTTTGTATAACGCTCTACTTCTCAAAAGTTCATCGTGCCTATTTTGTAAATCCACCAGTTGTTGTGTGAGGCCTAAGACACGGTCTTCCAATCTATTAAAGACATTTATTTACAAAACAGAAGGAATTAATTAACAGCTTTAGTTAGTTTATTGCACTTACAAATGCACATTTTTAAGCAGTTGCCGTTTTTCCAGTAATGTTAGACGCTGTTCTCTCTGGTAAAATTTCAGGAGCTTCACCAAATTTTCCGGCGATTCGACTCTATTGCTGATCAGAGAATTACCGAGTTCTCTCTTGCTGGTAGTCATGCCAAAGTGTTCACTGTGATTATTTCACTAAGTTGCAAAACTGACTTAATCACGTATTGAGATCTCATTTAAAACCTTTCCTACAGCATCACTTGTACCTTGAGTGCGCGCACGTAGTAATATTACATAGCTACCTTATAAATGAGTTATTATCCCCTATATCACGCTACCAAAGAAATCACTTTTGTTCAAAAAAAAGCCGATTTTATTTGTGGCTTTTAGTCATACTCTAGCAAACGCCATTTGTATGCTTGACAAAGAGCTATTTCCTCAAAGATCATTTTTTGCATCTTAACACGCGAATCCATGGAAAAATGGGAACACACAGTACCACGGAATGATAGACTTTATCACAAATCTAATAAAAGGATTGCTCATCTCCTGTGCAGATTTACTACAAATTGATTTATTTATGGCAGATTAAGTATGAAATCCAACTGACTATTTTACGTAGTTTAATAAGAAAAACTTTCATCTGTAGTTAAATTTCTCAGTCACTACCAATGAAGGAGAGTGAGCCTCTAGTTCCCCTGTGGTTAAAGAAAGGATGCCATTAATAGGCATCACTGTCAAAGTTAATCAATTACACATGGCTAAGCAGACATAGGACGTTGTTTTGCCTCAGCTTTTTAAATATTGAACTTTTACGCCTCCAAAATATCGTAGAAGACACATAAAGGCACGTTCTCTCAGCATAGGTGCCTAAACAATTCAGCCGAGATTAAATTTAATGTTATCTGACTAAGAACAACTTGAATAAACCTGTTAACATTTGGCTGGGAACAATTTGGTCAAGGTAGTCTAAGCAACTATTCAAGTAAAGTTTTGTTTGTAGCGTGTTTTACTAGGATTTAAGATGAGCGCTGGCACTGGCTCAATTTGATGTAATGTGCACTGAATATAGAGGCATTATATTCACCAAATATCACTTACGTCCCTTTAAAAAGAAGACCCTTTTGCGTTTGATTGGATTTACAGTTTCAAGTGAGACCGCTGAAAGTAGTCAAAGCGGATAAATTTCAAGCAAAAATGGGCTAAAATCGTCACGTTACTGTCGTCCTCATGTGATGTTCCCACCCCTCCAAAATTCGTACAACAGGAACACGATCAAACGCGCAATAAATGGTTAATATAATCAAACAAACACGATATTTAAATTGCACAATTATGCCTCTTATACATACGATGAGACCAGAATTCTAGACTAATGCTCAATTTTGAGTGATCTATTTTAACTACGCCGCTGACTCATCGCTGGGCGTAGTCATAGAAAATATTTGAAGTGGTCAAACAATACTTATAATATCTAAGTAGGATAGCACAAACCTCAGCAACTTCACGGCTTTAATTATAAAATGGGCTTTTCAATATTAAGTCAGTCGACTAATTTGCAGAGTGTTCAAAATTTTCTTAGTTCTAGTAAAAAGTCGTAATAATTAATATAAAGCAAATATTGCATATTAGAAAAGCAAAGCAATGTGGGGACTTGGTATTTTGTACTTGCGGCTTTTTGGGATCCTACAGTTTGTAATTTTATTAGGCTAATGGCAAATACTCCTTATTGTTACGTCTTATTACAACTAAAGGGACGACTCCAGGAGCTGAACGGAAGAAATGACAAGGGACTTGGGTTCAAAGGGACATAAATCTACATTTTTTTGGTTACCTACAGAACTTTAACACCACCAAGAATAGAAGTCCGCTGCAAATGGTTGTATCTGTAATGTTGCGTCCCGAGACTCCCTGAAGACGAAACAAGACACAATACTCGGGCAGAATATGCATATATTCAGCACTGAGAAGGTGTCTGGGCTATTGGCATGGTCCGAAAGGCCAGCCCACCCAGTGAGGTACAAGGGGGCTAATTCAAAGTAAAAAGTGGCACCTCACTACTACCGAGGGACAAACCATTATCGTATTACAGTAAAGACTTCCAATAGAAAACTAAAAACGACGTCCACTTTTTGGAAATCACCTTAATTTTCGGGTTCCGCAATGAGATTATTACCAACATAAGTGACATTGTACTTGAATGACCTGCACAAGCCTGTTACGAAGAAGTAGCAACAACCATTTTGTAAAAATATTAATTGCGCAAAAACACCTTAAGCGCGTTTCTTTTGGTTGATGGGATACCATAT